GGGGGCGGAGGGAAGGAGGGGGTCGTCTACATCCTATACTTGGCTGTCTGCATCTACTGCAATCTCAAGCAAAAGCAAAAACTCTGTCGTAGCAAAACAAAATTAGAAAAAACAAACAAACAGAAAAACAAAACAACAAAAAACAAAAACAAACAAAACAAGTGAAGCGAAATTTGCAAAATCCAAATGGGAAAGGGAAAAAAAACCTAAAGTCGCAGCTAATTAGCAAAAAATAAAACATTGTAAAAAAAAAATAACCAATAACAATTTTCCACAACTTTGTCATTGTTCAAGTCTGTAAGGCATTACTCAAGCGTTTACTCTAATGAATGTTCGTAAGAAAACTAACTCATGATAATATATTATATTTAATGCATCAGAAATCAAGGCAATTATGTACTTTACTTACATTTACCCATTAAAAAAATTCCTTTGTCTGCCTCAAATACGACTCCAATGACACACTGGCATAAATCATACAGAAAATATATTTATACCTTAAAACATTTAACAGTTTTCATAAACTCAACCCCCCCCCCCCAAAAAAAAAAAAAGATAGAAAAAAGATAATTTTAAACAATAATTTTTTAACCAAAAAACCAACACTACATAAAGGCTAAAATATATCAAGGAAACCACTTCTAAATTTAGTCCTCTAAGACTGCTTCTCAGAAAGATATCATTCAGATCTAGATCTATACGATAAGTGGGAAAAAAAACAAACCAATCCGAAAAAAAGAACATGATCACCAAAAGTGGCTCGAAAAGAACGTATAAACAACGCTGTAGGTAGAGTAAATAGTAAATAGGAGAACAAACTGAACTGAGTGGTCAAGTTATGGTCATCTGACTTACCGTGGCTATAGGCTTCACAATCCTTCTTCTCGCTACAGTTGGGCCGGTTCCTGGACAGAGAAACAGCGCAATAAATGGAAAGTTTAGTTTTAGGAGAGGGTTTTACGGCGCTCGCAACTGCATAAGGTCATATGAGCACCAGAAGATTAGAGGCGTTACAAGAGAGTAACAAACATAAAAAAGAAGAAGGGGAGATAAGGACGATAGATGTTTGATAGGATAGGACAGAAGAAGCAAACCACACCAGAGCACCCGCCAACCACCCACAACAATGGGAAACTCAGAAGTTTGCCTTCCTTAACGATAATAATATGATAACCACACATGGTAATATATATATATTAATAATGACGATAATAATCATATTAAAGAGAGCTATAATGATATTTTTTATCATCTTATTATATCATAATAATAATAACAATAATGATGAAACCAACAATAATACTATTTAAAAAAATCATATTCATCAATTATTATTATCATTATCATTATCATGACTATTATTAAATATATACAGAATATTTTTATCATTTTATGGTATAAATAAGAGTAGGCCAATTATGAGGAAACCAATTATAATATAATACCACTACTACTACTACTACTACTACTACTACTACTACTACTACTACTACTATTGCCACACTACTAACACACAACAACAACAATGATAATAATAATAATATTCTATATGTTGTTGTTGTCGTCATCGATCGAGCAACAGCTGAGCTCTCGCCCTTCTGTCCAATGACATGTACATAATACCAATATAAATAACATTATATCGGCACCTGTGCAGAAGAATGATGATTATGATGGTGGCTATAGGAATGTGTGTGTGTGTGTGTATGCGTGTGTGTGTGTGTGTGTGTGTTTGTGTGTGTGTGTGAGGGTGTGTGTGTGAGGGTGTG